AAATAAACAATTATAACTACTTATAACTGTAGTGTAAGGAGAGAAAACAAAGTTAGGACAACTGGAAGGAAAAGAAGATCCTGTTTTCCCAGAAACACACCAAACCCCATCTCCACCTTTATTACGGTGACTGGATATGTGCTAATTTAACATTTGTGATAAGTGATTGATGGAGTTTACATGTGGCTGTGGGTGGTGATTAAAATAACAGCTCTGCTTCTGGAGAGGCCTCCAAAGGCAATGAGCCCAAGGGAATCCTTTAATGTGTCCTTGTCAAAACTGCTGTCCATCTTGTGCATTTTTTTCCTCCCAAAAATAGCAACACTTATTTTGGGTAGGGTAAGATGCTGGGTTTATCAAACTGCTGACACACACACTGAGATTTACATGTTTACAGGGGCTAATTGCTAAGCAGAAAGCGGTGAATGTTATCTTCAATGTCATTGTATAATAGCCCAGATTATACTCAGCAAGCATGAGAATGATTCGCTATTCCATGCACTTGCAAGCAGCGTTTAGTAACAATAAAGCATCAAAAGGACAGAAATATGGATGAACACGGCTGTAGGTAAGGCGATAAAAGCGACCAACAACTGAGCGTGGGATGATCTGCCCTTGAGCTCTTAGATGGATGTACCGAGAGAGATAAGATCAGCTGCTTTAATCAGAGTGGATATTTAAAATAGATTCAACACTGACAGTACGCCATGTTTTTTTTCCATATAGTTCAACATTTGTTTAATTACATCCTTAGAGCAGCAATAAAACAGTGAGACTCAGATACATAGATCATCACCACCATGTCTAATAAACTGTTGGTCCTTCACATGCCACCAAAACAGATGTGATCCACTGAGGCACAGTGCACCAGGACTGTAGCAGCACATCCTTTAAAACCCAATGTTATTGTTAGCTTTAGCATGGCATTAACCAGAAGTAAACCTATGTGAGTCAATAAAGGAAAACATTTATGATAAAATTATACTTTTTTTTCTGTATCAGAATAGTCATATTTGTTTACATGTGGGATTAAAAACAATTTATTTAGCTTCAACTTCTAGAATCCCCTTGAAGGTATGCAACATTTATAGGAAAAAACAAATAAACAGTGTTTAAATGCAGACTCATGCTGCTCACCAGCATGGTCACCATTAGCTGTGTTTGTGCATCCCATCTCTAACCTCCAACCAGGAGCCTCAAATAGGAATAATCCATCCATTAACTGTTTATTCATTGAAATAAATTAAAATACCATTTTGCCCATAAAATATTTTACAGTGCTCCAGAAATTAGATGTCAGACGTGACATGTCTGACAGCTTGTTGCAGGATTTGTTTTTATCAGTGGGACAAGTTTAAGGTCGGAGGGACCGATGGCGCCTGTGCTCCGCAGCCTTGCCTTTGTCAGTGAACCTCAGGGCAGCTACATCACCATCAGTGTGTAAGTGTGTGTGTGAATGGACGAATGATACACTGAAGTGTAAAGAGTTTCAGAGTCCTCCGACTCTGCTAGGCGCTACACAAGTGCAGGATATTTATCATTCAAGTGACACAAAAAGCATGTTTCACTGCTCAGTAACAGTCATTATAGTTCTGGAAATGTGAATTTGATATAGAATATGTTTAGTGGCAGTTTGATTTATCTGATTTGTTTTGTCTAATTAAAATGTTAAAGGTGCATTACTGAATGATCTGGAAGGAAACAGTAAGAGGTAACAATGTCAAAACCAGCAGGTTGAGCTGCTAAAACAGAGGCTAGTCCACAGAACTAAAAACAGGCCTCCGGCGTTGAGTCTGGTGGTTAGAGTTGACAGGTCTGCATCCTTTCAGCTCTTTATACTGCTTATGCAGTATTTCATTCAGGACTCAGCTTCTGACTGTTTTGCTTGTTGAAACGTGATTGCGTCTGTGGAGAATATCATCAAACTGAAAACAAATCTGTCTGTTTCTGCTTTTTACTTGTTTATTTAATTTCCTGTATTTCAATAAAACGAGTAACCTGTGAGATGCCTCTCTGTGTGTAACTGTGATTGACAGAGGTGTGGACTTGAGTCGCATCTTGACTCACAATGAGGAAGGCTGTTGGTTCAATGTCCAGCAAACAGCAGATAACATCTTGGCTAGTAGAAGCTAACCGTTAACAATAGCAACTCCACCACATGGCAGAACTCCTCCAGGGTTGTGTTATTTGTGGAGATAAAAAAAATCAACTTTACAAAGCAAACCGTGTCAGTGGTAGAGTTGCGTTGCTGTTAGCCAATCAGAGGAGAGATGTCCAATTATCAGGAAATAAGAATCCAAGTGCCGCTCTCCTCCGATGTGGCATTCCTCTAGTTCTTGAAACAGGTGCACCAGAGCTTTTTTCCCCCAGAACACGACTTACAATGCATTCATCTGTGCTAGAGACCACTGTGCAAATGTATGGATGAAATGAGTGTTCAACACTAAAATGTCGTTTTAGTTACGTTTGATTAAACCTGTTCAACATGAAAGTTCAGAAGCACTTTTTTGTACAATTTCTAAGTTCAGTGTCACCTGTTATATCAAGTGTTGAATAACAGATTCGTATCACAGCTCAGTGTTTAAGTCTTCGGCAGAAAGTAGAAGAAAGAACATCTATAGATGCTTAGCTGCAGCTTTTTTGTAAGACTCACAGCCTTGGCTTCCTTTATTGAGCCGTTGCTTGTGCACTGGCTGTCATGTTCTGTGGTGTTTTGTTTAGTCTCGGTAGTTATATTTCCCTCCACAGGGTCAGCCTCATATAACTCAGAAACCTGCTGCAACTCCAAGGGTGAAGAAATATTTGCCCTCTGAAATCTGATCCTGTAAATGACACCTCCTCCTCAGTCTCAAGAGTTTATTAGTTTTAGCAAGACAGCCGGGGACTCGTTTCAATCTGCAGAAGTCTTGAAAGAAAAGGGGAAAAAAATCCCCTCATCACTGCTTTATGTCAGGGGCCTGATGGTGCCATTTCAGATTAAAAGCCTCTTTTTGTCAAGCATTGTGGTTGTCATTATCACCATTAACATCACCGGCTAAGAGAAAGAGAATCTTTGTTTGGAAGAAGGTGATGGAATACTGAAGTCTTTGGAGGGATCTGTACAATTGTGCAGCTGTTACCATTTGTTTGCTGTAATGAGCAATTTGTGGTGAATGGGGTAGGTAGAGAAGCGACTATGAACCTTGTGGTATACATGTTTCTGTGTCAGTGATGCTCAAAATAAAGGCCCTATTCATTCCGTAGACACCCAAGATTCTATTCCACTGGGTGATGAATAATATTGCAGACTGGGAGGATGCTCTCATCCTATCTCCCCCGATGCTTGAACCAGCAATAAATTTCCCGCCAATGCCATATGGTAGCAAGTCAAGTGTGGCATTCAGTATGCCATGTTATTTATTTATTTCCCAGGTGTTACTTTTCTATTAGTGATGTATGTGTTATTGTGTGTGATCTGCTGTTAGGATCTATGACATGGGGTGTACAGTGTTTTTGGAAGAAAGCCCAACCTGAAAATAAGCCTCAGATTCAAAATAATACACGACTTCTGCTTCATCCTTTAGTTTTCTGCTTCAGCAGGGCAGAGTTGATGAACCAAACTATGCCTCATGAAAATAAACCTTCATATGTATTAAAAATGGTATTGTGAAAGGTCAAATCAGTACATGTCAGGCGCATTTAATGTACATTTATTTGATAAAAATACTTACCAGGATTGAACATATGCATAATTATTCAAAACTATTATTTTCTGCAAAAGTAAATATTTAATTTAATAGTTGGCGAGGGTCTAAATGTTTAATGAAATGTGAAAACATGTTTTTATTTGCCTTGTTTATCATTCGGATGCTGTTGAAGAGGAGAGAAATTAATTATATTCTCTGTGGTGGTGGCTGGAACTTCTAATTTGGTACTGAATCCCTTTTTTAATTATTTAGTTGCAAAAGAATGATCAAAATGAACATAAGAAATCATTACCACAGCATGGAACAGAATGGATTTACACAAGTTTGTTTCTTAATTCAAAAGTCTGCCATCAGACATAAGAAATGAAAAAGGAGGATGATTTTATGTCTCACCAGAATATAATTTTTGTAGTGCTTTACAAGTCAGTTGTCCACCTTTAAGAGGGCTGTATTGGTATTTGTGTAACTAACACTAGTTTGTACATAATGCATGTGAAAAAAGAATAGAGGCTCATTTTTGTAGATGAGTGTAGGGGGATGGTAGTGAAGGTGCATCTGAGTCAGGGGTTTAGAAATACATTGCTATTTAAGTGGCCCACAAAGTACCTTCAGTTGGTGTAAACAAGCACTAAATCATAGGTTTCATTTATTTATTTATTTTTGATCACTAAAGGAGTAAAAAGTAAACCAAGTCCTAAACTTTTGCCGTCCTAAACCAAAAACGATGCAGCCATCTATTGCTTTTCTCTCTCTCTTTCTGTGCTTTATCTGCTTAAATAGAAAACAAGTGAACTTTCCTTAAAGCAGTTGGACTTTTATTTTTGGTTCAAGAAGCATGAAAGGAAGTCCGGTTGTTTTCTATTCTAGCAGTTAGAATTACCTGGGGGTGGCTGAGTATCTTCACTGGCTTACCCATTTAAACACCCTTAATACACTTCCTCTCCACTCTTCGGGATTTAAGCTGATGGAAAACCTGCTTACAAAAGTTTGGGCCAGCCCTGGGTTCGGGGCAAGTTCATTTATTGATGGGCTGGACTTCATAAACACATATTTGTCATCTTTTTGTTGCATACATTTGGTAAAATTCCTAAAGATAACCGAAAGCTCACGCATTTACATTTCTTGGTCATTCAGACGCATTTAAATCTTTTCCTTTAGGCACACTGAGACGTTTTCATTTTCTCTCCTGCAGCTTTATCTTTTACGGGTGATTTTTATTACAGTTTTGAATACACCTCTCTCTCGTAAGTGCCAATAAAGTGTATTTTTGTGAGTCGCTTGCATTCAACAGTGAAATATCTCCCCTCTCCACAGACAAAGCTACGATGGTCTGGAAAAGAAGCTAAAAGAAGTCTTCAGTGAACGAAGCAGCATCTTGCATCAGCTCTCCAAGACATCAAAGGAACTGGACAGCATAAAAGGCAACCTTCAGGTTGGAAATTTACCAATTCTGTCTACAAATCCTGCAACAATAACAGCACCATCCAGCTCATAGGCTTTAAGCACAAGTACTCAACCTATCTTACAATCTTATATTTAATTAACAGCGCTGTAAACCAAATGGAGAATATTAGGTAGTAATGTAGAGCATTTTTCTATTTGGTGAGCCTCCCATCCTCATGTTGTCACAGAGTCTTTTTCTAGAAGAGAAGCTGCTGAATGGAGAAACGACAGCAGGAAGTAAAATATTAGTTATTAACTTTTCTGCAGTTAAAAGAAAAAAAATGATAGTAATGATGTAAGTGATGGGAGAATGGGGTTTAGCACTTTTATCCAAGCGTGGGACACAAAACATCACTTCCTGTTAGTCACTGACAGTTATTTTTAATAAATAAATAAAGAAAAATAAATATACAGGCATATGTTTATCTGTGAGTTAATTATACCCTCTGATTTGTACATTTGGTTCTCGTTTCTCAGATGCACCAATGCGCTTACTTTATGTTCCCAATCAGGATTGTGTTGTTTGTGTTTTGAGGCCTCTGGCAGAACTTGTGCTCCACTAGAATTACCATCAAAACAAAACAGAGAGATTTCTACCCAAACCTCACACAGACCAGCCACCATGGTCCCCAGGACAGGCTTTGATGTCTCTTCACTTCAGGCTGGATGTGTTGGCATCTATCGGTGGCCCAGGCCCTGCTGCAGCACGCTGGTCAGGGCAAAGCGGGCGTTAAAATCTAAATAGTGATCTGTGGAACAAATCTGTTCTCTGGGGTCAAAACATCATCTCTACAAACATCATTAACTTCCAAATAAAGAATTGAGTCAACTTGGATGGGTTTCTGATAAAGATGGTGGAGCAAGTGGGTATGATTTAAACAAGCTGCCTTGTAGGTGGAGGTCAGTGACCCCAATAATTCAACTTTGGGAGCTGAGGAATATGGCGGCATACCCCTGACTCTGATGCACTATGAGTTCAAAGTACTTTTTTTTTATTACGTTGTCTGAAAGTAGTTGTACATTTAATAGAAATATTTACTTGATAAAAAAATATACATAGTTTACCCAATTATCTCACTCTGCACGGTTGATCTGCAGCACAAGGGTCCAGGGGTCAACTCCTAAATTCTGTGAGGCAATTCTTGTCTCTCACAGACCCAGAACAGGTGTGTTATGTTGTAAAGTGCTCTTGTGAGTATTTTAATGAAGGGTTTGTCTTTGTATGCACACAATCTTGCACCTAGTCGGACCGGTGTTATGCCAAAAAGAGCATGCCTGCCAAATTGTGCATCCCCTGTCAAAACAACTGCAAATTGCAGAAGTAAATAATTAGAACTATGAGCAATAAGGCTATTTTTAATAGATTCTGAATTAGAACACGTTTCTAAGCTGCATTTCTCCTGAAAATGTTTTGTTTTTGACCAGAAACACGATGAAATAACGATTAAGACCAATATTTTATTGAGTTTTGTACTGTATTTCGTGCTTGCCTAAACAATTTTGCTGTTGGTTTGAAAAAGCAGCAATGGGACTCAAAATGAATAACCTTTTAAAGATGTAATATTACTTCAAAGAAAACATGTTATAAACAGTCATTCATTTTATTTATCTGCCGATAAACCATAACTTTGTAAGGAAGAACGCATATAACAAACATGGCATTAGTATACATTTTTTAAAACACGATATGCACCTTCACACAAGAAGAGGAGCAATTTTGGCAGGCAGGCTTTAGGGCAGGGATGCACCGATGGATCGGCATTTGATCCCAAACGGCCGATAGCGCCCCTATCCGTTTTGATCTGAGTTTTCAAAATAGATCAAAGCAGACCAATCAGGCAGGGTTGTCACGGTAACCGGTGTAGCAGTAAACCCCGGCAAAAAAAAAAAAGTTGACAAAAATAATAACCGTCTTGTTTTTTAAAAAAACATATATTATCTCGGTGGGATTACCGTGGCTGCGGTGTAGGCGCGGTGACCCTTACCAGCCACCGTATCATCTGCTGAAGTTGCCGGCGGCACATGCGCACTTTGTTGTTTACAACCAAAACTTTCTTGAAGCTAAAGCTGAAATAATGGCCAAAGGAGGAGACGGCAGCGCTCAGGAGAACATTTTTTATCCCTCAAAGAAGACAAAGTGGGAAGTACGGGCATCTTTTAGATATTTGAAGAATGCCGAGGGACAGTTGATAGAAGACGGCTATCCTGTTTGCAGCATGTGCAGAAAAAGAGTCTGTGAAAGGCAGGAACGCTTCAAATCTCATGACACATCTGTGTGATCATCACCCACAACTCTACAGTCAACGCAAGGCAAGCTAACGTTAGTGTTTTAGCTAAAATGCGTGATCCGAGGATTTGGGTTGAGGGAGAATGCAACGAGTCGCTATATAAAGCAGCCGCAGCGCTGCTACCTGCATATAAACCGTGTCGCGGACACCCCCATGTTGAAATGACGCTATGCATTACGGGGCTCCCAGGGGCAGATAAGAGTTGGTCTCTCTCCGAGAATAATTATGAATTTAACAATGATTACTGCCTGATGACATTTCCCCACATCTGCAAAGCTCACTGGAAGGACACAAACCGAGGACAATATTTTCCTGATATAGGGTTTATTACTCAAGTAAGGGTAAAAAAGTATCTGATTAGAAGGCTACTTGAGTACTGAGTATCATCTGATCTAATATTTTTAAAATGATGACATCAAACATACATAAAATTAAGAAGTTATGGGCAAATATTGGTATTTTAAAGACTAAAGGGGAAACATGTAAACAAATAAACAACATAATTACAAAATAACACATTTTAGGCAAAATTTAGACACAAACTGAGGACAATATTTCTTGACACACAGGGTTTATTTAATTGTGTGAAAATGTAGCACGTTTAAAAAAAATACCGCAATAAAACCGAAAACCGTGGTAATTTTGGTCACAATAACCGTGAGGTAAAATTTTCACACCGTGACAACCCTAATACAGACCATTTTAGATTAGGTTACATTTCCTTTATTCCCAGATTATGTCGTTTGTAGCACTCATTATAATGTTGTAGAAAATTTCTGGCCAATCCACGTGATCGGCATCGGTGATCGGTATCGGTGATCGGCAGCAAAAAACCTGATCGGTGCATCCCTACTTTAGGGCACAACACCAGAACCTGCTAAGGACAATGTTTAGATTTTATTAAATAACATATTTGAGTAAGAATTAATACAAATATTTAAAAAGATAAATTATGTTGATTCTAGTTGAAATAAATAAAAAATCCCAATTAATTGATACTTGAGCCCTGAAAAACCTGAAATTACATTTGGAGATAATAAAAAAAAGAACACCCATACACATGCTAATGTTAGTCAGCAGTTCAAAAATTTAGCACATTTGTATTTAGAGGAGACATTTTTGTGTTTATTTACAAAATCAAAACAACAACTGAGTGAGAAAATGTAGCCCAGATTTCAACAGAAATGGTTCAAGAGGATCTGTCTTTTGAGATTTTCCCTGTGATGTGGTTTTTTAAGAGCTCACTGAGACAAATGAGCACAAACTCACTTATAGCATCTCCACATTTACATTGCTGATTGTACGGAACGATCCCTCTGTGGAGCAGTTGTAGCTGCAACAGCTAAATCTTAGAAAATGATTGCCACTTTCTGAAATTTATGTCTTCAACTGCCTCCTTTTTCAATTCCCCTAGAGCAGTTTGTTGGCAGCTTCTATAGTTTGATAAATAAACATTTTAAGTGAAACAATAAATACATCGAAATGACATCTTTGTGAAATATATTCTTGGAAAAGTAATTTTAATATTTACCAGTCACATCTAAACCAGTTGTATAATTAAAATGGCAATGACAGCAGTTTCAGGTGGATGTTTATCAGCCAATGACAGATCTTTATTAAGTCAGTGTAGACCCAAACAACTACCATAATAAAGTCACCGGGCTAATAAGGTGCAGGTTTTCCTTGTGCTACCATAACAGATTTCACCTGTCAAGGCACAAACTCCACAAGAGCCTTTAAAGGGCGCTGTCACATCAGGACCCAAGACGATAACAGTAAATCCTTTAAATCCAGCAAGTTGAGGTGGGAGTTTTATTTATTTATTTATTTCTTAATCAGATACATGTTTTTTTTTCTAGCAAATCTCAAGGAAGCAGAATAAGATTAAGATCTGGGGACTGTTGGCGCTAAATAAAAACTTTTTGTGATGTTCATTGACAGTTGCTGAATTAAATGTTGCAATGCAGCAAAGCACATTTTCCTGAAAACAGATGATGACATAATGTAGCCTGTTTAGGAAGAAAAAAAATCGACTTAAAGTAAAAATAGGTATTTAACAGCTAATCCACTGCTAGGTGTGGCTCATAAAACTAAAAGAGAACAGATGGCTAAAGCGGGAGGCGGAGAAGAAGCTTGATGTCTTCTTGGATGGTTTCCAAAAGTCTTTTGGCCATTCTATGAGTTTCTCTTAGTCACAGAGGTCACTGTAGGTCAAATGTGTGCATAGATGTTCAATCAAATGAGGATCTGGGGAGTAGCAGGTCAGGGAAATGGTCAAGTCAGTTTGATGTTACTGAACACATGAATCATCACATTTTAACAAGATTAATGTTGTGGATTATCTGTGATCTACTCTCATCAGCATCTTGAATGTAGTATAGACTCAAACTAAAGGAGTTCATTAGTTAGTTAGTTGTCTCCTATGTGACAGAAGAACAAATGGGTGCCATGCAGATGTGCTAAATGCTGCAGACTTTAGCCTGATTTAAGGGACAAACAAACCATCCTCGGTGTCCAGATTTCCCCTAGAAACGTACACATCTCTGTTAATCTCATAACAAACAAAAATCTCTCAGAGGGCTTGTGGAGCAATCAAATAAATCGCTAATTCCTAATTACCCATCAGGAACCTGTTTAGGCACCAACACAACCCAATCTGTGCTTCTGCATGTTCACTCATTAGGACATCCATCAGTAGATT